AAAATGTATTTATTTGAGCTTTACTTTTTGCAACATATATTTAGCATATATTTACAATATATTTTGGCCAGAAAAAAAATTTGTATGAGAATGCTGAATAGGAATACAGTGATAAATGTGTAAAGATTATTATTAATATATTGTATAATATTATATTATTATATTATTTGGGAGAGGGTGAAATGACACTATGATTACCATTATAGATTAAAAAAAGGTACTGACCTCTATTCTACAGTAACATTGCCAGTTTACTTACCACATAGTAAACATTAGTGCATTGTTGGCATTAATATAGAGCTTAATCAAATGGCATACTTTATTACTGCTGGAGATGATTTAGTTACTGATATCATTACCAGCTCTCAATGGCCTGGTCCTAAAGGCTTAATTTGATCTTGGCTTTACAACACACCATTAAAGATTAAAAGGCAGAAAGAGCATTAGTTGAGCACTGGCTGTTAGAAAATGTGTGTAGCTGGATCAGATTTCCCTAAGGTTGAGATACCCTTCCTCAAGAACACAGAAAGGCTCGCTTGTACATCTGCTGCATGTACACACTTTCTCACACTCTAATTAAAAACACTGTCTGACATCACCGGCGCACAGCCAATGTGCAAGCTGTTTGCACGCAGATCGTCTACAGAACATTATTATACTTTTGCTACATATGGGACAATATTCTGTGCTGGAAAAACTCACATCTTTAGAGGTCACATGTGCAATGACCTAGAGGTCATTTAGAGGGTCCACATTCCTGTTTCTGTTGATGTTTATGGAGAATCATTTTATCATGTGGAATCATCATATGGAGAGTCAAGCTACAGTTTATATATAGTTGATTATGCTGTGCTGATGCTGATTTGTGTCATCGTCATATTCTAATGTCTGTTTTGATTGGTCAGGGATCAATTGTTCCAGCTTTTGTGATTGTGCAAGGTTTCATTGCCTCCTTACAACCCATTCCAGCCCAGTGCTGCTCATTTGCATTTGGACTTTTTGAGTGAACATGTGAGTTCTGCCACAGGCCTAATTGCAAAAGTTGTTTTGGAAGTCAAGACGTAAAGATTCAAGATTTAAGAGTTTGTAAATGCAAACGTGTGGTTGTAAATCAATTTAAGTACAAAACTAAATATGTATTCAAGTAAGTTTGTCATTTTTTTCCCCTATATCAGAATAAAATAACGAATTATTTTTTACTTTATTTCACCATTTTGTATTTAATAATTTTAAATTTATTATACTTTACTGAACATTTTGATTCTATTTGACTGCTCTATGATTTTGACTTTGTATTTTTTGTTTTTTACTAGATTTATTATACTATTTTGACTTTTGTATTTATTATTATTGTATGTAATTGAATATTTTTGGATACTAGACTATTTTGTATTTAATAAATCAGACTACTTTTATTATTTGTTATTTTATATTTTTAAACTCGTTTTATTATACTGTATTGAATATTTTCAACTCTTTATATTTAATATTTTGACTAGATTTATTATACTATGTGGACCTATATTTATACTGTATTTGGCTATATTGTGATCATTTGTGTGCAACTTCAGAACACACACTGTAAAAAAAAAAAAGTTAAAAACAGGGCACAGTGTAATTTTATTTTATTATTTCCTGTATGTTGATTTTTCCAGTTCATTGCATTGTTTTAGGGTTAATGGAAATATCCGAAAACTATTGTAAGGATGGTTTTCCTACGGTGGTTCAGGCTGTAGGATTGCCGAATGACTAAAGAAACGTTATCAGCACGATGGTATAAAACTGTACATTTCTAGTCTATTACCACCCACTGCCACTTATACCAACGACGGAAATAAGCGCAGTTAGAATAGCTACATATGTGGGAGAGCGTTGCTATTGTGTGACTATTGTATTGCAATAGGTAACACTTTAAGATGAACCTTGAATCAAGACTAGTTAGCACATAATTAATAATTGAAATGGTTTAATAACAATATTTTGTTATGGTTACACTTGAATTGGTTACAAAATAGATGAAGGATGGTAAAGCATAGTTAATTGTACCCAACATGTAAAATATTACCTGAGAGAAAGAGATAGAGAGAGGAAGAAAAAGAGGGAGAGAGGGCAGAGACCCAAGAAGAGAGCCAGCCAAGAAAAGAGCCAGAGCAACAGTTACAGTCCTCTTTTATCCCTTCCTTGACCATGTGACTAAAAACCAAATGTGAGACATTCAAACTGACCAATCAGCAGATTATAACTTCACCCACTGGGCAAAAGGTGTGACAATTAGCAGACCCCCGGTGTATACACATGTTGGCCTACAGGCCTTGATCACTATCAGCACCTCTGTGCCTTCAGGAATTCCAAATGGCCCTTTTGTTACTGAAGATAGGTTTGGGACAGGAAAGCAGAAATCTTTGATAATTTTTGACCTTACACTATCGATACATTTTTATTTACATTTTTTTTTTTGCAGTGCAGGTTTGGGATTATTTTCTGCAAATGAAAATAATACCATTCAAATTTTCACTTTATAAGTTTACACATTGGCCTGTCAGTGTCATACATGCTCTCTGTAACGAGGTTCTTAGTAAGGAAGGAAGAAGTTGGATTCAGCGTGACTGAGGCTCGGGTAATTTATTATACTTCCCGTAGGAACTGCGAAAACAAGCAGGCGCTCAGGCACTTCAAAATAAACAAAACTTATATAGCACTTCTGCGGTTCTCTAGGCCCAGGCCACAGTCGGTCCCCCACGAGTCCTCAGTCTGTCTCATTTCTCCCTCTCTGTTTCCCTTGACGCCTTTTACGGTCTCTCCAGGCCAATCACTGAAACGAGAAGCAGGTGAATGTCATTTTGCACTTGACCTACTTACTCACCGCTCATCTCCGACTGCTCTCTCCCACTGCAGACTCCGCTAAACCACGCCCCCCTCGCCACACTCTCAGATTAAGATCTACAAGTTCTTGCAACACTTTTACCTCGATAAAAAACTTATTTGTGCTTGGCTGTGTATGCATATTTCTATGTGCATGTGTCAGCGGACACGTCTAGATACACCAAACTCTCGTTCTGCAGTTTGGCGGCCCGACGACCCATAAATCTGTCACTCATGGAGATGAGCATGTGATAGTTTGAGATGTTAGAAACCAAGTGAAATGACCTACTGTGAGTTCAGTACTTACATCACAACTGCAGTACATGATATCAGTCTTTTCAAATGTTCTGAGCACCTTCCCCTCTCTCGTTCCTGCGTTTCTTCCATCTTTCTCTCACTCATAGGTTCTCTTGACATTTGCAAAGGTTGAAAGACAAAGTAGCTTTGTGTCCTGATAAGGGCGAGGACTCCTCAGCCTGAATGTGAATGTTCTCTCATGAGATCAGTACGGAGCTGGGTGTATTTGACAGGCAGGGTGATGGGTCAAGTTTTGGAGGATCACAGAATAGCAGAAAAAGGCAGATGTCATAGAAGGAGGTTAGTCGTCACAGTAGGGTAGAACAGGGGAAATCTCCCTTAAGGAAAACTGTATTGTTTCTTTTCCCAAATAAACTATTTTTCCATGATAATGGATATAAAAAAGGCATGTTTTTCATTGAATATTTATTTATGTTGCATTTATGTGCATTATGTTGCTATTTATTTGATCAAAAATACAGTAAAATAGTAATAGTGTGAAATATTATCACAATTTAAAATAACTTTTTTTATATATATATATATATATATTTATTTTAAAATGTAAATTATTCCTGTGATGGCAAAGCTGAATTTTCAGCATCATTACTCCAGTCTGCAGTGTCTGATCCCTCAGAAATCATTCTAATATGCTGAATTGCTTGAACATTATAAATGTATTTACTGTCACTTTTGATCAGTTTAATGCATCCCTTGCATTAAAAAAATTATTTAAAAAAAACTTACTTTTAAACAATAATGTGTAGACTCAGTTTGAGAAGATTTGGTAAAAAAACAAAAAAAAAACAAATATTTAACTCTTTTTTTATTAGCTTCTGAACTGGTGTTAACAGGTTCTTAGGTGACCCTCAGCTCATCATCAGCCTTGAAAAGTGTATGCTATAATAGCAGCCTGGTGCAGGTATTGCTACAAAATCGATACTATTATTCACTATTAACTAAGAATAGTTAGTAAGTTTAAGTTCAATATAGGTATGGGGTATAGGATTAAGAGATCTAAATGGTCATGCAGAATAAGGCATTAATATGTACCTAATAAATACATGTGCTAGTAATATGCATGCCAATAAGCAACTATTTAATCGTGAGAATTGGTCCTTAAAATAAAGTATTACCACAAAAATTCTTATGTTTATACAGAATACTGTGCATAATAAAAGACATGAACCAAGAGCATGTTAATTGCTTTTGTTGTACTGTAGAAGCTTTCTTCCAGTTTTGTGTGGAAATCTGCTGACACAGGCTGTGATATTATGAACACCTGCTGGTGAGAGGAAGTTTACAACCCTACAAAATCCTTCATGATAATAAACACCAACACAAATGTAAAAAAAAAAAACACTCAGACACCTTTCGTTTTGGTTTATTGGAAATGTTCTCTTCTTGTCTTCTTGCCTCTGTAGCCCTGTAATAATATGTTACTGACTCTCAGCATTAAGATGATGAATATTGTTCTTACTCTTGGATTATTATCCAATAAGAAAGTGACTGGTGAGCTAATAATAGTCTGCACCGAGCGTTGGTTTACCCATGAGCAGGTTGCCTAGGAAACGTTACATAATTGGAGCATGGAAGATGCCCCCAGCTGATTGGGTGATGGAGACAAGGTGATAGATCTTCCTCAATGTGTTCTCTCCTCCATGTTCCATCTATCTGCCTGGAGAGGAAATGACCCCATGACACCACATATAGTGGCTAGTGGTTTGATAGGTTTCTTCCTTTCATGTCTTCAACAATATGTCACACAAAAGAAAAAAGGAAGTACCAATTTCTGTGCATTGCTGTAATGATTGATCAGTTTACACTGTGTTTTTTCATAGGTGCTGATTTGGGCGGACTGTTGGACCTTGAGACTCTGTATCAGGGTGTTGAACGCAGTATTAACCAGAGCCGACGAGCCCGCAGACAGCTGCCGGAACGAATCTACAACATTGAGGTTTTGCTGGGGGTGGACGACTCCGTGGTGCAGTTTCACGGGCAGCAGAAAGTGGAGAAGTACCTTCTCACTCTTATGAACATCGTAAGTGTGCTCGAGCCACCCACGCTGCCTGTTGTGTTTGGGTTACCCTTGAGAAAAATCAAAGAACGATAGAAACTACTCTGTCAACAGTGCAGCAGTTCTACTGGCGTAAGACAGCATTGTAATAAACAACTGAGATGAAGCTGGCTTGTGGTGAAGCATTAGAGACACGGTGTTGACACCAGAGGTACTAGTGTTTATAGCATTTATGTTCAATCCTGCAGTGTTTTGAAAACATTTGAAGTAGGGCTATCTATCTATCTATCTATCTATCTATCTATCTATCTATCTATCTATCTATCTATCTATCTATCTATCTATCTATCTATCTATCTATCTATCTATCTATCTATCTATCTATCTATCTGTCTTTCATTCTGTTGCTCTGTTTAGCTAGCCTATAAACCATCAAACATCAAGTCTTTTAAAACGTTTTTCCCCGAAAAGATTTTGATGTTTGACTGTGTCAGTCCAACATTAAAGGTTTGTTTTAATATTTTGACCTACATTTTTTTTTAGTAATTGAATTGATTTCTTGTTCACTTTTGGTACTTTCAAGCATTCAGATTCAACAACTGAATTGTAATTTAAAATGCATTCTCAATTAAATTCCAAATCGCATAAAATGTGGTTAATTGATTACAACAGAGCACTGTTGTATAAATCTACTGCTGTCCAAAATGATTGATTTTTCCTTAAAAAAGGATCAAAACTTACTGTTAATCACAATTCAGCTGATTAATATCCTAGCTTTAAGTGTTGTTAAGCTCCACTTGTGAGTATTTAGGAACGTTTTTTTGATATTGAAGTATTTGAAAATATAGAAAATATTAAAATATTAGTCACAAAGATTTCATGTACTGTTAGCTCTCACTAGTGACGATTGTCTCTAGAGGAGATGTCTGGCTTAGTTTATGCGATTTGTCTGTATTTTTAATTTATTTATTTATTGTGAGAAAAGAAGGATGTCAAGTTCAGGTAAATCTGAATGCAGTAAATCCATGGCTTTGTGTCATGTGGTCCAGGGTGATGGTAGACCAGGGGGAAAATATGCTTCAGGACAAAACAGCTCCCATCTATGCCTTGCTATGTGTCCTTTAATCTCCACAAATTAAACCTATGCAGTGACAAAGAGCAAGAGAGAGAGATCAGCTAGCCAACAGATATTATATCATCAGTAATAGTCAATGATGTGAGGTAAAATCAGACACATATTAGATCAGTTCTGCAGTCATTTTTCTACATCATGGATCACTCCATCTAAGATGAAATGTGATGTGATGAAAAAGGTCAGAGAAAAATTTATTATAACCTCACCATTTGTCTCTATATTGCATATTTTCTCTAGTTATCACGAGTCCCCGAACAATTTCTGCAGCTGTGCCACTGCCATCTCCTTTTCCTCTCCTCTCGTTCTCATCCTAGGGGGTGTTTCAAACGCTGCATTCTGAATAAATGACAGGAAAACAGATAAACAGAAATATATAAATAACATTGCGTCTCCTTTCTCTCCCACGCGTTGAGTTCCTTGCCGCTTTCTTCTTGAAAGTTTACTTTGCTCCTTTTTGGAAGGCATGTCTCTCTCGCTCTCCGGGAGTCAAGGAGAGAAAAGAGAGAGACATAAAGCAGGTTTTTGCCCTTTTTTCCTCCAACTATTTTCCCTGAATTCTCCTCTTTTAGTGTTTGTTGCACATAAGGGTTGTGTGTGATGATGTGTTATGCGTAGCGCCTGAGTTTGTTGCTGGTTTTGTGTGTGTGTGTGTGTGTGTGTGTGTGCGCATAAATGTCACTGCTGCTCTGTTGCTGTGTTTGCTCAGAGTGAAAAAATCCTCTGCAGTCTTTCATTCATGTTCTCCTGGTCAGTGGCTGGTCTCTCTCAATGATCCAGCAGGAGAAGAGAGTGGGAGCCGTCTGTCTGTCTGCCTGAAAAGGGATCTGTCTACGGGACTGTACGTGGGTGGCAGGGTTGAGCGCCATTCATAACTGAATTTAGAATGACTTTTAAATTCCTGAATGTGAATCGGATTGGAACTGAAGTAACAAAACAAATACAGAATTCAAATTTAAATATAAGGATTAAAATGGAATGAGGTTTCAGAATGAATTACCCATAAACATGTCAACATAGTTCATTATGTTCACATAGAAAAGTTAAATAATATTAGTAATTAATGTTTGAAATGCCACTTACAGTATAGGAATGCATATTTAATGTAGATTAAAATAAAAAATTAAATAAAAAAATGGGCACCTCAGTCGTGGTATTGAAGGTGGGAGAGAGCGCTGTACATTCACTCCCCCCACCAACAATCCCTGCCGGTACGAGACTCAAATCCGCAACCTTTGGGTTATGAGTCCGACTCTCTAACCATTAGGCCACAACTTCCCCATCGTGTTTGACACTATCAGTTCAAATTCCGACTCATGAATGGGATAGGAGACAATTCTTAAATTCTGAATTCACACATATCCTCATTTGAATAATGGGTTTGTTCAAAGCAGTGTCAAAATTTAAATTTTATTATATGAGCAGTATTTGCCCACTGAAATTGATTTTAAGGGCACTTTTTATGAAGGCATATTTTTTTAACCATATAAAAAAGACAATATAATTGCAACATATAAATACACACACACACACACACAGGTTTGTTTTTATGGTTTATGGGGACTCTCCATAGGCGTAATGGTTTTTATACTGTACAAACCGTATTTTCTATTGCCCTACACCAACCTTACCCCTAAACCTACCCCTCACAGGAAACTTTCTGCATTTTTAGATTTTCAAAAAATATTCATTCTGAATTATATATAAGCCTTTTGAATTACGGGGACACTGAAAATGTCCTCATAAATCACCTTCTCATTGTAATACCTATGTCATACCCATGTTATTATACAAATTTGTGTCCTCATAAACCACATAAACATGCACACACACACACACACACACACACACACATATACATATATATATATATATTTAGATTTATACATAATCTGAAAGCTGAATACATTAGCTTTCCATTGATGTATGGTTTGTTAGGATAGGACAATATTTGGCTGAGATACAACTATTTGAAAATCTGGAATCTGAGGGTGCAAAAAAAAATCTAAATATTGATTGAAATCGCCTTTAAAGTTGTCCAAATGAAGTTCTTAGCAATGCATATTACTAATCAAAAATAAGTTTTAATATATTTACAGTAGGACATTTACAAAATATCTTCATGGAACATGATCTTTACTTAATATCCTAATGCTTTTGGGCATAAAATAAAAATCAATAATTTTGACCCATACAATGTATTTTTGGCTATTGCTACAATGAAGAGTTCAGATGCAAGAGCCTCTAAGTGCCATTTGAAATGTTCTTTTAAAATTAGCATTTTTCTCAGGCTCCTATGTTTATGTTCAGTTATTTCACTTAAATGGCAATGGAAGGAACCTATTCATTGCCATTAAAGTGAAATTACTGAACCTACACAAAGAAGCCTGATAATTGTTTTTTCAAAATTTCAAATGGCACTTAGAGGCTTTTGCATATGAACTCTTCAAATATACCCCAGCGACTTAAGACTGGGTTTGTGGTCCAGGGTAATTATTAGATTTGTTTTATGAAAAAAACTTAAATCACCTGAAAATACAGACTAAACAGGCATTTTCTTGTATAAAATATAAATATACATATATATATATATATATATATATATATATATATATATATATATGTGTGTATATTTATATTTTATACAAGAAAATGCCTGTCTAGTCTGTATTTTCAGGTGATTTAAGTTTTTTCATAAAACAAATCTAATAATGCTACACATTCAGTGATGCTTGTATATTGAAGCATTTTAAATATATAGTTGTTAATTTATTTTCACATTATGTGGCATTTTTGTCACGGTTCATATCTAATTCTGGTCTGTTCGATATGTTAATCTCTGTGTGGAGTTGTTGTATTTGTGAATGGGATTTTGGTTTGTTCTGGAGAACTGGTCCAGTGACTCACTCTGCCCTCAATTTATAGAACCGAGTGAAACAATTCTTTAAAATGCACTAAAATTGATTGGCTTTACTTCATAGGGCCATGGGAAATGATGAGGAATCGATGTGTCAGAAAGAGATCAAAAGATCTGGAGGCCTCTTGACTTATGTCCACCCTTCCAATCCACCAATCAGCTGTCCTTCACCTTTATTCCGCCCCTTTAAGACTGGCTCTTTCAGATTTAGTGTTGCAGTCGAGATAATGGACCGGTATTTAATGCGGAAGCTCTTTGTGGGAGAGTTTGTTGTTGTTGATTCTCCTTTCTAGTATTCAGTCTTGGAAAGTCTCACAACATGCTGATCTAAGATTGCCTTTAGCTCAAGACCGTAAGTACCACATCAGATCCAGGAACACAGCATCACAGACCCTCGACGGTGTCCATGGGCTCTTAATGCTTGTACTCAGACTCATTTCACGTTTTTGCATGGGTGACCAGCGCAGCCAGCCTGTGTAATGGAGCTGAGACCTTTGTGTGTAGCATTAATTGTGTGAATTGAAAGTCGACAATATTAATTGCTTCCCTCTATATTAGTCACTCCTCAGGAGTAAACAAGATGTGCGGGCGGACCATTATGTAATCAACTCTTGATAGACACGTTGTTCTGGCCCTCAAATGTCAGACAGGTAATAATGGTCCAAAATGTCAAGTTAAAATGGCAGAGATTCAGTAATGAGTCTGAGCAAATACTGTCCACCAGTGCGTACCTTCATATCTCTGAGCATTCCTGTACATTACAGAAGAATGAAGGGGAGATCGGCCAGCCAAGAGCCTGATGGGATTTTTATACTCGTTCACTTTCCTCTCCCAGACTGAAACATGATGATGATGATTCAGCATAATATGTATGTGGGATGCAAGGTAAAAATCAGCGTTGAATAGGGAACGAAATGCTTGCCCGGGGGTGTTTTGTCCAAAATTGTTTGGGCTGGCAAACTAATTTTTGACTGT